CTGAATCCAGCAACCCCACAATATTATTTCCACTAACAGTCATTTTTGCACAAATGTTTCTCAGTGCCCAGGCTGGCCGTGCATACTACTGTCGCAAACAGCGACTGACGTCTATTGCTCAAAGTCACACTGCATAGGCTCATCATCCACCACTGGGCAATTAGCTGCAATATGTCCCGGCAGCGGTAACAAATAATTTTTTTCACCGTTTCTTGCGGCCTTGGCCTTCCTGGCCGCTCTTGCCAGACATTGGGTAATACTCCCACCCTCTCACTCTCTCCACCCTCACCCCTTGTAGTCATCTTACCCGCCGCTGGGGATGGTCTGGTCTTAGAGTGGAAAGTCCGTGAGTCTCTGGAAGAGGAGGTCAGGTTCTCAGTAGCCAAGTATCTCTCCACTAGATCCACCAGCTTGTCTGCGGTTTTCTGGGTCTCCATGGCTGACCCACTTTTGAATAGTATTAGGCAGAGACCTTAGGAACCGATCCATAACGACACGTTCCACAATTTTTGGGGCGGTCAAAGTCTCTGGCTGCAGCCACTTCCTGCTCAGGTAAATGAGATCATACATCTGTGACCTGGGAGGTTTCCCAAGCCGAAAAGTCCAATTATGTACCCGCTGAGCACGGACAGCGAGGGTAACACCCAATCGGGCCAAAATTTCCGCTTTTAGCACATCATAGTTTTTGGCCTGGTCTGGCTCCAGGTCATAGTAAGCTTTTTGCGACTCTCCAGTTAATAATGGGGCCATCAATCCAGCCCACTATTCTTTAGGCCACTTTTCCCTTTCAGCAGTCCTTTCAAAGGTGGTTAGAAACACCTCCGGATCATCCTCTCAGTCATTTTTGGCAATAAACGGCCCACAAAAAATGATGGTGTTTTACCAGAATCATCACCAGCCTCAGTCTGCTGCCTCTGCTGGAGCTGCTTCAAAACAGACTCAATTTGTTGCTGGTGTTTCTGGTCCTGTTGCACCAGCAATTCCCTATGGCGGACCTCTGCTTGTTCCAAGGCCTTCTGCTGGGCTGCAATGCTCTGCTGGAAACTTGCATTTGCCTGCTGTTGATTGGCATTTGCCTGTTGTTGATTGGCATTTGCCAGAGCCAACTGTCTGATTATCTCCTCCATGCTGGCCTTTAGTTACCACAACTGCCCGCATCCTCCAGCATGTAACGGGGTTAGCTCGGCAGCGGGTGTGTGTGACCCCCTGGATGGGTGCACAACACAAAAAGACAGGCACAGCACACAAACAACAGTGGAGGTGAAAAAAGAAACATCAAAATAAATCCTGGCCAACTTGGCTACTTACTGCAACAACAGCTTTCCCTAGCTACCCACTAGGTACAGCCTGCTGCTATACCTAGTTGCTAGTACTTGGAGGCTAGCCACACAGGCTTTGGTCTCTCTGCACACAGATAACAGGTCAGCTCCCCAGACAGTTCAGGCACAGATCTGGTTCCAGGTTGGAGCAACTCCCTAAGCACACTGGGAAGTTTTATACAGGTGTTAATGAGCCCACTACCTTCAGCTGGGCTCATTACCTCAGTTCTGAAGGACTCAGCACTTCCCTCTAGTGGTACAAATCCCCATAAAGCCTGAACCTCGGACAAATATATCGTCCATCCAGGACGCAACCAGGTGATTTCACCTGCCTACTGTCACAATACATACACACACATATATGGAAACTGAATGAAAAAATGGGTGACCAATGAATGACCCATAGGCACAAGCCCCTGGGAATGCGGTCAAGCGCATGCGCCTAAGGGTGACACAATAAGTGTGAAGTGAGCAACCTAATGTGTAAAGGATGCAGGGTAATGGTAGCTATACTAATAATACTATAGTAATCATAGCTGATGAAAATGAATATATCTATAGCATACATCTGTAGTGGATGGTGTACCCACTATAGGTCACAAGGGAAATATTGGAACTAGCACTAAAGAGGGGGGGTGGGAGAGAGAGAAAAAAAAAAAAGGAGAAAGGGAGGGGGTTTAGGAGAGAGACAAAGGATGAGAGTAGGACTATAAGGAACATGTACAGCTCAGCAGAACGTACCTATACAAAACATGGGGTCAGTGAATGACCCCATGTATCTCAAGATCTTCATTAAGCCCAGTGGGTGAGAGGGAACCCAGAGTAAAGATCCAATAGATCTCCCTCTTGCATAGTCTCTGAAATTTTCTTTCACCATCTGAATCTCCTGTGATGGATTCAATCCCAAAGACTTTCATGGCTGATGGATCACCACTGTGTGCCTCCCGAAAGTGCGTGGTACAGAATATTTGTATTTGCCTTTATTGCTCTCCTTGTGATTAATGATGTTACATTTGTGTTCGCCAAACCTGACCCTCAATGGACGCATGGTTCTGCCAACATATAGGAGGCCACAGGGGCAGATGAGCCCATAGATCACAAAGGAAGTGCCAGAGTTGATAAACTGCTTAATCTTATATGTATGGCCATTGATGCCAGCCACCTCTTTCTTTCTGTGGCACACTGCCAAAATATTTAACACCAGTGGTGGAGAAGATTGGTTTGAAAAATAGGCATTATCCAGCAGTCAGTTGGCTCTGAGGAAGAGGCAAGTCCTCGAAACGCATCAGCCTATTGGATGTCTACTCTTCCTATTGCAGACTGTTACTCAGTGCGGTGTTGACCCAGCACTGTTTATTGTCGTTTGTGAGTACAACACCTACTTTATTATTAAACATTTTTTATGGTAATGCACTAGGCCTGTTTGCCCTCTGTTTGTTTTTTTCGTCATTCAGATTAATGGAGTTGTCACCGCATCTCCTAGACTAGCCAACGTGAGCTCCAAGCATCGATCTGGCGAGATATGACGTCATAGGGACCCTACATACGTTTCACCTGGCACTGTCTTCAGAAAGTGACAATCTGCCATCTCCGGGTATTATTTATACAGAAAAATTATGATTGGGTGGCTACACCAACATGGCGGCCACTAAAGAGCCAATGATATACTATGGATGGCAAAATCTGTAAAGGTGCACATACAGCTGCGGTTCACAAAAACAAGATATAAATCAAACTTATAAAATTACATATATATATACAAAAAGGTACATATATCAAATGGATGCAGTAAATAGAGGAACACAAAACTATGTCACACTATCATGCGACTAAATTTACTAAATTATAGCTCCCTACAGTGGTAGTCCCCCCTCCATCGATAATAAACCAATGACAAATAGGGTGGGATTTAATCCAACCTATTAAACCTCAGAAAAAGTGGAATAATGGACCATCAGGGGGGTTCCACAATCACCCGGGGGAACCAAAGAGACCCCTCCATTGTTTCCACACAGATCTATGTGTTCCTTCTAACAAAATTGGAATATATATAACCAATCTGATTGGCATCGAAAATACTATAAATAAAAAAATACTAAGAATAAAATATGGAAGTATATATTTCAATTCCAAGGGCCTTACCAGCCCTATATTAGTGACCACAGAGTAGTACCATAAAAAAACATGAATGTAGCGAGGAAATAGATGTTAAGCCATAATGGGTGTAAATGCCTTGATAATCTGTTATGAAGTAGTTCAAATCTATCAAATCTATATCTAAATTTAACCCCATTGGATCCAAGGTTTGTAATTTGTAAATCCATTGGGTTTCCATTTGGGATATCTGTACCTCTCCAGTGTTTGGAAACCCTATCTATTCCCCAAAATTTAAGTAAACTGGGGTCACAATTGTGTTTCTCTCTGAAATGATTGGACACACTATGTTGCCTGAACCCGTTTTCAATATTGGTGATACTGTATGTTCACCAATTCTGGTAGAGTTTTCCTAGTAGTCCTTCCAATGTACTGCAATTTACAAGGGAATGTTAGCAAATACGTGACATACCTAGTGATACATTGCTTAATGTCATTTTTTTTATCTGTTACCTCTGATACAAAATATGCTGTTTTTTTTTCTGTTTATCTCCAGTTAATCTACAAGTTTTACACCTCTTGCATCTGTAAAATCCTATAGCATCCAGGAATGTGGGGGCCTCTTGGGCAGATCCACCACATTTCTGGAAAAAATATTCTTTAGGCCTGGGACCTTCCTATGAATGAACTGAGGTCTTTTTAGGGAGACTCTGTTTAAGTGTCTGATATCTCAACAAGATGGGTCAATATCTACAAATACTTTTTTTTCCACCTCCTTATATTGTAAACCAGTTACGAAGGCTGTATAGAGATTATTAACCTTTCTGGGTTTAGGTACCAGACGTTTATTCCACTCCATGTTCATAACCAAATTTTGTGTCTTTTCTAATTCTGATTTTTTTTTTTTTTTACCCTTTTTCCTGTAATCTATTTAGCAACTTGCTGGATTGTAACACGTAATTCTCATTGTTATTGCAATTGATGATGGCAACTTCTGACAGAAATGTACCCATTTCTGTCAGTTTCCTAAATCAGTTTAATTTAAAAAAAATTCCAATTCTAGAAATTGTATTGCTTGCTCATTTCTTGTACTTGTGAATGTAATCCCATACTGCTTAGAATTCATATGTTCCAAGCAGGGGCAGACTGACCATTTGGAGACTCAGGCACTGCCTGAGGGCCTGGGGTCAGTAGGGGGCACTATGAGATGCCTCTGGTACCTTTTTCATAGGCATTTTTGATTTAGGGCAAGGACACAGGGGCCCCATGATCCCCTATTGCCCGGGGGCCCCATGAGTTATCAGTCCACCCCTGGTTCCAAGAGTATCTCTTACTTTTTTATCCTTATTTTTACATAGTCAAGCTGCATTTCACTCTGGTTTTAGGGTATATGTGTTTTTTCCCTTCAATGTTTATTATTATTTGTTATTACCTTGTAAAACCCATAAAGTTTAACTGGTTCCCTGCTGCCCTAGGGCGGCAGGGCTGTGCAAAATCACAGATCTTTATCCGTGATTTTGCATTTCCGGGTAGGGGGCACGTATGTGCTGCCCTACCTGCGCCGCCATTAGCGGCTACAGATGTCGATTACCGGGTCCCGGCCAGAGATTCACCACCAGCACCCAGTGATTGCTGAGGAACAGTGAAAGGGGAGAGGTCTGTGTAAACAAAACAGATCTCTCCCCTGTCAGCACCAACATGCTGCTTTGTATTGCTCTGCATGCAAAGGCATACAAAGCAGCATGTTTCCCTAGTAAAACACACACAGCACACACAGTAAAACAGCACACAGTTAACCCTTTGATTGCCCCAGATGTTAACCCCTTCCTGCCCAGTGTCATTAGTACAGTGTCAGTGCTTTTTATTAGCACTGATCACTGTACTAATGTCATTGGGATGTCAGTGGCAGTTAATCAGTTCCCCCCAGTGTCAGAATGCCCGCTGCAGTCCCGCAGTCTCGCTATAAGTCGCTGATCGTGACTAGTATAAATAAAAAATTTGAGTATATATACCGCCTTTTGTATACACTATAACTTTCACATAAACCAATTAATGTATATGTATTGGAATTTTTGTTAGCATAGACATGTAGCAGAATACATTTTGGCCTAAATTTACGCTGAAATTTGATTTTTTTAATTTTTTTCTACTGGATATGTTTTATAGTAAAAAAGTAAAAAAAACTTTTTTTTTTTCAAACTTGTCTTTTTTTCAATTATAGCACAAAAAAATAAAAACTGCAGAGGCAATCAAATACCACTGAAAGAAAGTTCTATTTATGGGAAAAAAAGAACATAAATTTAATTTGGGTGCAGCGTTGCATGACCACACAATTGTCAATTAAAGTAACGCAGCGTTGTATCGCAAAAAATGGCCTGGTCAGGAAGGGGGGTAAATCCTCTGGAGGGCAAGTGGTTAAAATATAAGGTAAAATATTTGTATGTAGACATAGAAAAAATTATAAATTTCTTTCTTTTCCTTTTCCTTTTTTTTTTATAAGTGTTCAAATACACTCTGCTCTTAGCTGCATAGAGAGGTGAGGATGGAGAAACGGCAGCACTCTGATCTTCCCAGAGAATGGCTGTGCAGTGGTTGATGTGAAGACAAGTTTGATCATTTGCGGCGTATAGACTGAATTCCAAGCACAGCTAGTGATCTGACCACTGCTGTGCTGTCATGTCTAGTGTGGTCAGTTGGGATAGGAAAGCAGAGGGACTGGCAGGAAGACCAGGGATTTCACACAAAGTAAGCAATACAAAGAGAACAGGATACTTTTTCACACAAGTACATGGTACAGCAGGCAAATATCAGGAATATGAAATGTTGGGTTTGCATATTCTGTATGGATTACTCACACTGGCAGTTTAAACTGTAGCTGGACATGGTTCCCCCCTTGCTCTGGTTTGTTTGTGTAATGTGAGGGACCTGAACCATGACCAGGAACAGCTAGGTAAACTATATCTGTCCAGGACCACTTGGAAAAAGGTGGTCCTAGGCACAAATCAATTTTATTCTGGTATGGTTCACCATGGCCAGTTCTATGGGGGTGCTGGGGTGGGCACCCCAGATTTTAGTTGTGCTAGGTGTGACCCTGTCCTCCGCCCTGCTGACCCCCTGTACAGTGCCATGCTGACTTCCCATTTTCCACCCCAGTGACATTTTTTATTGCACACCCACATCATACAGGCTAGATCCGGCCCTGTGGTTCATTGTGAGCCCAAACTGCCTGAGCACAGAACTCTCCATAGATCACTGAACAGAGAAACAGGGATCACTGTGGACTGATTTGTCAAAGGAAATGATGTACGCATGCCCGGGATTACTTCTTTTAAATCAGTGTGCGTGCAGTCCGTCAGAGGAGTGGGGACAACCAAATTATGGCACAGTTCAGATCAGCTACACCCTGTGTGATATACACCCTTAGGCCTCATGGACACTTGAGTTCAAAGACTCCACTTTTATAGGCATTTTAACTTTTTCTCCTCTGCCTCTAAACTCCCATCCATTTTAACCTACATATGTGTCCATACACATTATAAGCATTTTCAGGAGTTTAGAGGCAGAAAAAAAAAAAAATCAGTTGTGCGTTTAAAAGAGGAGTGTTTTGATACGCCTAAACACGTTCGAAACTCCTGCCAGGACAAAGCATTTATTAGAGCCCCAGTGTGTCTCTATCAATGTTTCCCAAGCCTGGCCCTCAGGTTATATTTTTTGTAATTCCATTTAGTGATGGATGTGTTACATATATAACTTTGCAAATTAAAAATACAAATAATTGTTATAATGTAGGAGGGAATTACAGAACAGGTACATAGACAGCCCAACTCCTACTGTACACAAATAATCAGCAAACACAAATGCTCCTGCACTTGGGGATGGACTCAATGTAGGCTAGGACCACATCATGAATGTCCTGGAATATGCACACCTTGCTGCCCCCAAAAGACCAGGGAAATATACTGAATGGAGAAAGAACAGAAGGCGACCCGCCTAGTGCATTACCATAAAAAATGTTTAATAAGAGATAAAAATAGGTATTGTACTGACAAACGACAGTAAAGTCAAAGGCACATCATAAAAGAACAGCTTGGTGAAAACCGTGCTCTGTGACTGTCCGCAATAGGGAGTGTAGAAATCCAATAGGCTCTGAGGAAGAGGCAAGTCCTCGAAACACGTTAGCCTACTGGATTTTTATCTCTTATTAAACATTTTTTATGGTAATGCACTAGGCCGGTGCGCCCTCTGTTTGTTCTTTTCTCCACTCTGTACACAAATAATGACTGTGACTTTATCTGTTTTTTAGTTAGGGACCCCCACCAGAAATTCTTATAATCATCTTTGCCATACACCCTCTTCACTCTGTTTGTCTGTCCTTACCTGTTACTTCGGATATGTGGAAACATTTGACCTTTTCTTTCTTTCAATATGCAGTGCTAGGCAAAGTGGGGAAGGGCCAAACTTGTTGTTTTTTTGTACAGAGCGCTTACAAGGGATTAGACTCAGGGCTTTGAAAGATGACCAGAGAGGTGGGGGAGTCCTGAATGGGCAAAGTGACAGGCACTTTAAAAACTGACCTGCAGATGAAAAAAAATATGTAGTTATTATTATCATAATACAGGATTTATATAGTGTCAACAGTTTGCTCAGTGCTTTACAATATAACGGGAGACAATACAGCAACGATACAGTTCAATACAAGAGGTTTAGGAGGGCCCAGCTCCTTGGAGCTTACAATCTAAGAGTGGATATTCCTTTAAAAATAATCAACTGTATTATATATATACAAGTGGTATATGAACCCCAAAAGTCTTTAAATGAGCCTCTTCTCATCTTATGCACATCAGTCTTTAGACTTGTTGAGGAAAAGGCAACACTAAGACCTCATGAACATTGGGCGTGAAAGTCAGAGAGCTTCCCCGCAACAAAATTAAGTCGGGCTGAACACTGCTTGGCCATTCATAAGAAGCATTGTATTTCATCAATGAATACAATGCTTCCTAGGTAGAGCTCACAAGATCATCCTCCCATCTCAGCCTATAAGCAGGTGCAGTGTTTCCTCCACTGTATGTGGCACTTGACCCAAGCGGTACCACGGCCTGGAGAGGAAGTCAGGAGAAACCTGGTTTATCTATGGCTTCCAGATCTCTGATGGCAGTGTTCTAGTTGGTTACACTGCATTCAGGTGACCCCAGGTGGCCTTCTTTGGTCAGCAGAGTCTTTACCCCCAGGCTTTGGCATGCATTTATTTATTTATTACAGGTACTTATATAGTGCTGTCAATTTACACAGCACATATATTATATATTCACATCAGTCCCTAACCCTCAAGGGGTGTACAATCTAAGGTCCCTAACTTGCATTCATACATACACATACTAGGACCACTTTAGACAGGAACCAATTAACCTACCAGCATGTCTTTGGAGTGTGAGAAGAAACTGGAATACCCGGAGGAGACCCACGCAGGCACAGGGAGAACATACAAACTCCAGGCAGGTGGTGCCATTGTTGGGATTTGAACCAACGACCCTAGTGCTGCCAGGGAGAAGTGCTAACCATTTAGCCACTGTGCTGCCCGCATTTGCAAAGTAGTGAGAGTAGGAAAAAAGCACCTATCTATCAGGGAAAGTGACAGCAGCAGGGAAAGATAGCAGATGAGTAGGGACATGACAGGGGCTTGCAATCCTTCACCAAAGCCTCCCCTTTGGGACTGGACTAGCCTGGCTGCATTCCGCCCTCTGAAAACAGATGCTGTCGGTTATCCTTACCTACTGTATCTCTGCATTGAACTGAACTGTGAGTGTTGCCCGAAGTGATGCTGTCCCACTGGAGTTGTTTGTTGTTGGCATTCTCTGCAATGCAAGTTCTGAGTTCATCTGCAACCAGACTCTGTGGGGGAGGTTTACAAAAATCTGGTGCAGCTCTGTAAAAACACCAATCAGCTTAAAGGTTTTATTGCCAAAGCTTATTTGAACAAGCTGAAGTTAGAAGCTGATTAGCTACCATGCACAGCTGTACTAGAACCTGACAGTACCAGTTTTAGTAAATCTCCCCCTGTGTCTTTACTGCCACTGCACCACGCTGCACCTACTCACAAGACAATCAGAGGGAGCCTTGTATTCATTGGTGAAATATAATGTTTCCTGCGAATGGCTGAGCGGTGTTCAGCCTTACTTGATTTTGTCCCAGGGACAGCAAGTCCCCATCCTGTTGCCCTCAGTGCTCCCCAGTGCTGTGTTTACAGTGCTGACAGCAGGAGTATCTGTTAGTTAAGAAAATAGTTTATGTGGACCAGCTTGGTTATTTTTATATATCAATTCTTTATGGACCACGTAACTGAGGACATGGCAAGGAGTGCATCTTTTGCCAACACATTTTGTGGAAAAGGGTGTCCCTCTTTTCTATCTCAGATAGTTGGGAGGTATGAGAAGGAACTTTTTGAGTTATAGTGTTCCTTAACCCAGGACCCTGCATTCACTATATCTGGTCTCCCACAGTGCACACAACATGGAAGTGCAATTATTTTAGTAAATATAAACTGCTAAATACCTTTTCTCATCAGCAGTTAGAGCAGTCTTGTGACTTCACCAGAGCACTGGTTAAAGCTTGTAGGAGGAGTTTTCTTTCTGCTCTAGGAGGATGCAGAACCTCTAACCTCTGTCTGGACAGTGCTGATTGGCTCTGTGCTGATCACATGCACTCTCCCAAGAAAAAAAAAAACCTTGCTAGCAATACACACCAAACTGAACATGTGCATGTGGCTACAGGTTCTGCCTGTCTTATCAGGAGATAAGACATGTCTATTTGAACAAGAAGTGGGGCAGAGAAAAGAGGATCAAATGGCCTTTTTACACAATGTGGAGGAATAACCCCTTAGGTTCCACAGTGAGTATAACAAGCATGCTTTACTGCATATACAGACTGATTTTACTATTGTGGGTTTAGTAACA